GAAGAGAGTTAAGTCACGGCCAAGAAAAAGTTCGGCGTGAAGTTAACTGTCGTAGAAGTGACAGGCCTAACGATTAACATAGGCTTAACGTTTAATATGTTAGAGGAAAACTAACAGTTTTAAAAGGGACAGAAAGTATAATTTATTCCGAAAGCGTATTAGAAGGTCGATTTATCAACAAATACATCTTTATCAGGTGGATTAAGCCTAATAATCTTGTATACTAACAATCAAGTCTATAACAAACAAATTATTCCTAGTAGGTCAGTATATCCACAAATACATCTGTATTTGATGTATTAAGCCTAACAAGCCTTGTATACCACTAGTAAGTACATCTATAACAAACAAATTATTCCTAGTAGGTCAATATATCAACAAATACATCTGTATTTGATGTATTAAGCCTAACAAGCCTTGTATACCACTAGTAAGTATATCTATAACAAACAAATTATTCTTGTAGATCAATATATCAGCAGATACATCTTCATCTAATATATTAAGCCTAAGAAGCTTGTATGCTAGCAAGCACATTTATAACAAATAAATTATTCTTAGGAGGTCAGTATATCCGTAAATACATCTATATCAGATGAATTAATCTTCGCAAGGTCCTATTATTAGCACGTGGGCCTTTACAATACAAACTAGTCCTAAAGGGTCAACATATCAGCAAATACATCATTATCAAATAAAATAAGCCTAGAAGGCCCGTATTATAGTAAGAAAGCATAAACCATCTTGCCATATTGTATTTGGTCGAGATTTTTGGAAATATGAAAGGATGGTGGTCATTACATTGTTAAACAAAATCGTATTATAGTTCCATATAATAATCCAAAATGGCGTAGTTACAAAGACACGGGCTGAATTAAATGATGTTAAGGCAACTTCACATAACATTGTACATTCTCGTTACACGCTGTTTTGCATCCAGACATATGACTATATATATAGTGTATATTCATGATTCCTAGTTACCGTGTTATTGTTTTCTACTATAAATATAGTTGTTTGTTATAGATGTACTTACTAGTGGTATACAAGGCTTTTTAGGCTTAATACATCAAATACAGATGTATTTGTTGATATACTGACCTACTAGGAATAATTTGTTTGTTATAGACTTGATTGTTAGTATACAAGATTATTAGGCTTAACCCACCTGATAAAGATGTATATATAAAGATATAGACAAAGATGTACAAGCTCAGGCTTGTAATGCACGAGGCTTGTTTTCATAGTTATCTGCGCACAGAAACTGCAAGCACGTTTGTATATTTGAAAATATTAACTATTACCAAATGAAAGAATATTTTCAATTTACATTTATCAACTGCTCGTTGTTTTGTTTTTTTTCCTTTTTTTATCACCGCTAATTTCTTAGTCCTTTTATCATTCATCTTTACCTTGTTACTTGAGTGAGGAAGCATATTATGTTAATATAATAACTAACAGGCAAATAACGATTTATAAGCATAAGAAAGAGTTTTATTGATAGTGTAACATGCTAAATGTTTCGACAGATCATTAGCCCGTCGTCTCCTCTTATCATTTCTACTTTGTTTTCAAAGCGTCAAAAATGAAACATATGCATCATGTGATCTATCACAGCGGAATATGTGCAAAAAGTATCACCAATTTTGGAAAAAAAAGAAATATTATGTTTGAGTTCATTCTCTGAGACGTATTTCCCCATATATATATATAATCTCTTTTGGTGGCTTTAATATCAACTTGACGACTTGAATAGCTAAGTTTACTTAAAACTAACACCCATTCTGACAGCAAAAGATACTTCAAAATTACATCTAGTTTAATTATGTTTTCAGAGATAAAAAACGTTTCAACTCAATGCAGATGCCAGTATATGTATTTTCACATACAACTTACTCATTCATTAACTTTCACACTGCTTACTTCACTATTGCCTTTTTTTAGAAGCGACTTAAACCTGAAACAAAATACTAGAACCTTAAGTAAACTTTATAAAATTCTAGCTGTTATTAGGACCGGATCCTTTGAAGATGCTGTTAAACATTTATTTGACTTTTACTTGTTCTTCAGTTTCCGCTATGAGATAAATAAAGAAACATCAAAGTGAATATCTGATACATCTTTTACCTGCATGATTTAACTACATGTTTATCTATACCTTATCTGTTTATCTATCTGTCTAAGTAAAGAAACATCAAAATGAATACCTGATACATCTTTTACGTGCACGATTTAACTATCTGTTTTATCTATCTCTCTGTCCCTACATGAGTTTGTGTGTCTAATTATTTGAGTGAATGTGACTGTCACGTCACTTGATCCATGTTTATTCCTATTGGCCTATGTCTGTGAGTCTGTATTTTTCTAGCTATGCTTCTAGATGTACGTCTTGGTATTTGCATACATACAATACTATGGCGGTTCATTAGTGAAAGGTGTATAGCTTAAAATAAGAGTAGTGTTTTCTCTAAGCGGCTGAAGCAAACATACGGTACTAAGGGGCCCGTTTATAATCTCTAACTTGGCGATGCAATCAAGCCTAACAACCATGAATGTTTACTACACTTGTCTTTCCTTAACTTTGTCTACAGCTCTTGTTGACACGTGAGTGATTTGTGCCGGGAAAACTTGTTGAATATGCAACAATAATAAACTCCAGTCGAGGTTGATGTGGAGTTTAATGGGTTAATTCACATGAATGCCCTCCATTTCTGACCCAGCAGGCACGTATGTAAAACCCTACACCCGCAGCAGGAACGACTAGAATTATGAGATAGTTTGGAAAATAAAAAAGCCACTTTGAAACCTGCACTAAAATCAAATGTCGAAGTCTATCAAGTTTGTTATACTGATAATTAAAGGAAGCCTTAATTAGGTTAAAAAACTTGAAGGAAATTGAAGAAACGACATTCCTTCAAACTTTCTAATGCAGAGAGAGAGACTGGTGGA